CAACTATTACAGATAAATAGTAGTTTGCCAAGTCAACAATTTATTAAATCGTTATTAAAATAAAGCAAAAAAAAAAATACAGATAATAATATTAGTATTTGTTTTTGTTTTCAAAAGGACCAGACGCGTTTATTTTACTCAATATGGTAAGGACGCGCTTTAAGTTTTACATGTCTAGAGGCCAATTTTTTTCTTAACATAAACACACTGTATTAGCAACACATGATTCTAGTGTGTATGAGAATGGCAAAGGGTCAGTGACAAGCAATAAGTTTTATGATACGTTAATGTCAGATTGGAATAATATAGCATATTTCGACATTATTAAAATTAACTCTGCTTGCTCTATCTAACCATTATTTGTGCTTGATGTTTAAGTACAGCGAACAAATTATAATGTATTGCTGATGAGATTATGTAACAAGATTCTTTACAAAGAAATTATTCGCTTGAATGTTGACCGAAACGTCCTATCTACCCCTAAGGTTGTCTACACAAGGCTTAGCTGCAAACCACCATACCATACATAGTTAATATTAATACTGATGCAGTGTTTGCAAAATCCAATTGACCAACAGCATTAAACTTGATATATCACAAATTTTGATGACTTATTTGACGTTATTTTGCCACCCACATATTAATATTTAGAGTCATTAAAATAAAGACTTGATGATCATACTATCTTTCCGTTTTATTTATTCAACAAGATAACTATGACAGCTAATGGTCAACAAAACTTTTTGCCCCACATAAACTCTAGATTTGCTATGTACTATTATTTATATTCTCATACATGACCATTTTACATTTAACAGCATCAAAAATTCATGGAAATTACTAATCTATATATAATTTAAAAAAACTGGATGCTGCAAGGTGGACAGACATTGCATATTCGTGTTACAAAATTATCCAATAGATGACCATCACATGTTCATTATTTCTTTGTTTACAACCGCGACGCCTAACACTTTTATTATGATTATGGATAACGTTAGCGAAATAAAAGTATAAATGTAAAATATAAAATAACCACACTGTCAACGAAGTGACAGGTTATACACTAGTAACAATGATGGGTAATTTTGAATTTTGATATATTAATGTCTTTATTCAGTGCACATGGTGACACCTTGTTTACTGTGCTGAATAATGAGTAATTTTAAATTTGGTATTTCATGATTAAACATTTTAACAATACATACACAGAATTATTATCAAAAAAGAAAAAATGAAAGCAGGTCAAATGGCTAGCTACATCAATTGTAAAACATTATACTGTATATATATAGATATATGCTAAATATAAAGCTTATTTTAACTCTATCTAATACTAGTGAATTATTGTTGTTCTTATTATTATTGCAAAAAGAAGCCATAAAAGCAAAGCAAATGGTCTAATCACATCAATTATAAAAGTAATTCTTTAACTCCATCTAGTAGAAAAAAGCAACAATAGCAAAAGCGAATGGTCTAATCGCATCAATTATAAAAATAATTCTTTAACTCCATCAAGCAAAAGCAAATAGTCTAATTGCATCTCAATTATAAGAATAATTCTTTAACTCCATCAAGCAGAAAAAGCAACAAAAAGCAAAAGCAAATGGTTTAATTACATCTCAATTATAAGAATAATTCTTTAACTCCAAAAAGAAAAGCCAAATGTCTCAATTACAAAAACAATTGTGCTTTACACTCAAAACAGAATGCGTTTGTCGTGGACATTAACGAACGTAACTCCATCTAGTGAATTATTATTGTTCTTTTTGCAAAAAAAGAAAAATTAAAAGTAAAAGCAAATGGTCTAAACGCGTCTTAATTATAAAATAATTTTCAAGAACACAACATATGTATCAAAGTGGAATGGACTGTGTGTCTAAGTAAAAGTAAATGGGGGAGTGGCAGAGACTGTGACAAGTTGGGAGAGAGTGAGGACTTGTTCGGTTTGCTGACAGCCTTTTCCAACTCCAAACACTGGCGCCTTTTTAGCGACAAAGTTCCCACCAATAAATCAGAGATATGTTTAATGGTTGGGAAAATATCGCTCCCGGCCCATGCTTAGTGCATGCATGTTTAATGTTCAATTTTGATCGGGATTTGAGTCTAGATGGTCTGGTCGATATGTCTCAAAGTGGAATGGGAAAATCCCGTCAAGTGTTTGGTGTCTCTCGAAGTGGGAGTAGACTGAAAGGATGAATGTTCAGTGGTGATGGCCAGAGATGACAGATACCCCGTTAAAATGTTGGCCCAAAGTGGATGTGAGTTGGGTGGAGGTTCGGTGGCGAGGAGACGATTTGGTGTCAAGGAGTGGAGAGCGCCGTTAAGCGTTTTTGTTTTATCACTTATTGATGTACGCTCCACTTTCTTCTTTTCTAAGCCTGTTGAATCAGTGCTGGGAGGTAGACACTCAAAGAAGTTGCTTTGCGAATGAGTGCTTTCAGGTTTTAGAAGGCGATAGTTGAAAAAAATTTTTGGGGTATGTTCGCTTCTCATGTGAGTCGATGTACTACTAATAATAATGGAATTCTTTATTCAGCTCGCGGTACACAGTATTAGTATTACGGAGCACAAACTTTGATAGAATATATAACTTTCACTTTTGCTTAATAGTACATTTCCGATTTGTGTTAATGATAATGTGCGATGTGGTCATTCAATACGCTGAATATGCCGTGCCATCACAAAATGCGGGAAAAGGTGACGAAATTATTGGCTATAGCGATGCTTGGAGTCCTATAACAAGTTTTCGTACTAACAAAAGTCTGTTTCAATCAAGACAATCGGAGAAATAATATAACAATAATTGTACCAAGGCAATTTTCTTTAAAAAACTAAACAATCTCATGACAACACTAGAGTTAGCTTTGTTGCAATCAATGACTGTGTATCAAACAAAAAAATTTTTCTGCATATTTTCGGACATACGCGAGTTTTCATATGTCAGTAACCTTCGGTATAGAACGTCCTGCATAATCTCTGCTTTTGTCAAGTTGCTTATTTTGTGCAAAGCCATACTAATCAGCTACTTTGTGTTTGGGAACTTGAACTCAGCATCATATTGTATTAATATGGAAGTAGCTATAACGATTGTGTATACTGGGCTAATCCTAAAATGAATGGTGCAGGTGACTACATTTGCAAAATTTTTCGTCTATATTTAAAGTCTCAGTCACAAGATAAACAGATTGTTGAGCTGCATAATCTCTGACTAAACATGTAAATAATCGTCAGTATTATGACGTGTGGCGTAATCATTCGTATCGTTGTATCAGAACTCGAATTGCTTTTTGCGTGTCCTTTATTAAGCACAGCTAAGGTGCACAACTCGAATTGCATATCGGTATAACTGCTATATTTTACCGATTAGTACCATTCTGCGTTAGAAAGTCCCCAATCACTTTCCGAACTCGAGAGTTAACTATCTATTACTAGCGCTCCTGCTATACTATTAAATTTATTCCCTCAAATAAACATTGGAATCCCAGATATTTTCGGTCGGGAAAACACAAGATTCTCCCTAAAAGATAAATCATCTCTGTTGGTTGTGTTCCGCCCAAGTAGAACAGTACTTTCTGTTAAGAATTAAGAAACAAGGAAAAGGTTAAGAAACTGTTCAAAATGTAAAAAAAATTTTCAACGGTAAGAAACACTTTGTATCAATTAACATTAAAATATACAATCCATGCTAATACTACAATATTACTTACCATATGTCTCAAGAGAATCTGATATTGACACAACCACAGCCAATTGGAAAACAAGAGTTTGCCATCATTATGGTAAGTCTTTATAACATGTAGCAATAATTTACAT